AGAACCAGCCATTTTCACTCCCGCTGTTTTTGAGCGACTAGCAACGGCGGAAGAGGTTGACAGTGGGCTCAATCTCCTGATGTCGGCAAAGCAGCTGGAAGCCGACGAGGACGCGAATCGCGTTAGGGGTGAGCTGAGTGATTCTCACCCCCCAATACCTAAGGCAGTCGCGAAGGAATCTTGTCGTGGGCACCCTGAGCCCGGCCTCCAGCTGTTCTACGTAGATTGCCACCCTACCATTCGGAGGCAGTGCGGCAGATTGGTGTGGCTGGGGGATATAAATACTGTAATCCTTCCTCCAAGGATATTTGCGGACTACCTCGGCTTTAGAGTCTCGCTCCAGGTTACTACTAAAGGCAGGCATCTGGCCGTAGTTAAGCGTCGACACGTTCGGAGGAGTAGATGGCTCTTGCACGCCTGCGTCCCTAGGGACCTCATCCCCGAGGTCATCGTTATATAGGACCTCGGGCTCGATCTCGATCTCCTCGTACTGTTCCGCCTCGGCATCTGGCTGCCCTTGAGTTGCCCCGGCTTGGTGAGACGCCTCAGCACCTCCTTCCCCGACGTCAGAAGCAGTTCTCTCCTCGGAGGGGTCAGGCCTCTCTGCCTCGGTAAAATCCGGCCTCACTGTCTCTTTATGCGTGCGAGCTGTTCTAGCCATTATATCAGAAGAGAAAGTAGTGAACTTACTTAGAGGAGGTGATTCGAAGGAATTGCCGAAGAAGATGTGGTTTAGAAAGATAGCCGAAGTGAAAAGACAAAGAAACAGAGCTCCGGGGTGATTCACAATTTTTGGTAAAGAGTAAAACGGTGAAAAGGGGCCCCTATTTATAGGCACCCAGGGAGAAAATGAAGAGACGCGTTCTCTCTCTCCTCATTAATGAGAAAACTGTTCATCTGCCGCCAATCTCGCGCCTGATCATGAACCTGCCGTTCAGACTGATATCCGTCCTGTCAGTTCCCCAGCAGTCCCATCCACGCGGTCATGATTATTGGACACCGTGTCTTACACGCTTATCAGCTTCGGAATGTAACGACCTCGAGAGTCCACGATCTCGTCTTCCTCGAAGCTTGGGGGGCTTATTGAGGGTGGTTATTCCGGTTCGGCTATCCCGAGGTCTTATCCAGTAATATCTCTTGAACCGCCACCTCGGCGGTTCCCAGTGGAGGTGACATCTACCTCATCTCCATCTCGGCTAACGTCCTTAGCCGAGGTGACACCTGGGCATTGGACAAATGTGGAGAGGTGAGATGTGACCTCTGACACCTCTGACGCCTGACGGAAAGCTGCTCTGACACGCCGTCTGAGCCTGACGGATGTCCCATCACATCCTTTCATAGAGATCAGTCAAGTCTAACAGATGCGGTGACCATATCAGATCTCTAGGGACCCGTGCTGGCAGTCCCTCTCTCCTAACTGTCTTCTATAAATACTCAACACCCCTACTGAGGAGGGGGATGACAATTTCTGGTAAAACCACTCTAATTCCTTCCCACTACTTTCTTACTATTATACAACCGAACTGACTTAAGATTCGGAGTTATACCGGGGAATTCAGCCCCTCTTACTACTTAAGCAGGTGACCTCGTCCAAGAGAACTGCCCAAGATAAAAGTTCTTCTCCAGCTCGGGTGACTCACTCCAGCAAAACGAAAATCACCTCTTCAATGACATCACTCAACTGAATGCAAACTATCCCTACATCTCTGTCACGTTATACAAAATAACAAATAAAAGCTCCTTAGGTTGTGGTATCTCTAACTACTCATGCAAGTGCTATATTTGGATCATTGAGTACTACATCTAGGCTAGTTATGGTGTAATTTCCTTATGCATTTGAATCATACTTTCGTAGTGAATCCATTATACTTATAACTAATCCATACATATTCTCATGGTTATGAAATTAGCTACAAGTTCATTTCTTTAATGAAATTACATGAAATGAATTACTAAAAATCACATAGGTGCACCTCTACTTTCATGAGTGTACTCCCTATATTTAGCACTTCTTGAACTAGTGTTAAATCTCAATTTTCATTGCAGAAACAACACCTTAGATAATCACAATCAATGGTACCAGATTAATCATGATTTAAAGGGCCAAAGTGCTAAATAACTTGCTCAAATCATAGCAATCAAATAACCAAATAATAAATACTAATAATTATAGAAAGTTCAACCAAATCCAAGGCATAAACTTTAGAGACACATATTGAACACAAAATCCATAACTTGCATATCAACTAAACTTAGAATCCAATACAAAAGATAAAGAGTTGGAAAAGACATAACCCTTGTCACATGAGTTTCAACTTCTCCTTCTTCATCTCCATTTTCATCATAATCTAACTAATATACAAGAATGGAAGAGCTACACTATTCTAAACTAAACTATCCTACTACTCAGAAAGTGCAAGAGCTACATTTCTGCATTCCAAGTTTCTCCCGTATGTCTCTCTCTATATCTCCCTTCAATCTTGCAAGTTTTGGCTATATAAAGATGAAAAAAGTCAAGAAAATGAGGCCTACACCACCCTTTTACAGCTGCAAAGTAGTTCTCACATGTCTGGCATTGCATGTGACTTGTTGGAGGTGAAAATAAGTTTTTCGCGTAAAGAACAGCCTTCTCTGACCACAATCCGGCCAAGTTCCGGCCGGATTGCTACAGTGACATTTTGGTGCACTTTTGTTCAATTTCCAGCTCTGCTCCGATTTTGCGTCAACTTCAACTGAACTTTTCTTGATGATAAAAGCTGATTTAGCTCTTGACCAAAACATAAAACTTGTAGCCCTTTGAGTTATCTTTCCAATGCATCAAGATTCACCTCATTTGGATCTGTGTAGGCTGAGCAATGACCAAAATACCCTTGACTGCTCACTGCCCTGTTTCAGCTTCGACCAATAAAAATTAGCTACTGTAATTCAGCTTTTTGACTTGGAAAACCTTCAAACTGGATTCAGATGTCTTCACCAAAGTTGTGGATCTATCTCTTATCTTCAAATTGGTTTAAGAATCATCTCAATCTGATCATTGTAACTCAAGTTATAGCCGAAATATGAAAATGTGTCAAAACTGTCAAAATACACAAAATCCAAGTAAAAAGTGATAAAAACCTCATTTAACCACTTAAAAGCATTTTTCACCAATTATAGCCAAAATGATTCATTTTCTTCCAATAATATAACCAAAGTGACTAAAAATAATATAAAATATCATACAATTATTACGTAAATTAGTCACTTATCAGAATCATTACTTCTGCTAATTTTTAATACTGTTTGTTAACTTGGTCCGGTGAGGATTTATTGCTTAGTAGAGCATTTACTTTTCCTTCACTTTTCCAGCTATCGTTGTTGGTGGCGAAGAGTCCAAAGCTCACATGTGCTTCTGAATGTAATTGGCATAGCATTTTTCCTTTTTTCAAAAAAAAAGAAAAAAGAGAAAAGAAAATGGCATAGCTAATCATTTTTCAATGTAATTTAAAAAGTAAACAAAGTGGACATTAATTTTAAAGGGATAATTTCTGAAACTTTCCTTGAGGTTTTTGACAATTTCACTGAGCTCCCCTAAGGTTTGGAAAATTACACTTACCTTCCTTGATTTAATAGTTTGAGTGATAAAACCTTAAAATAATATAGATTTGGTTAAATTTTTAAATGAATATCCAAAAATGCCCTTGTTTAATGAATTTTGATTTATTTTTCTATACAATTATAAGATTATCTAGTTTAATTATAAGCAAAAGGCGCCAAATTTTTCATACCCATACCTACTATTTGATAAACAACAATAATAGTAATTTTATCACTATAATAAGATACTTTTGATGGTAGTTGATTATGGATTTAGATTTATAAGTTAGAAAAGAAAATGTTAAAATAATTCATTTACAATTTATGAATTTTTTGAGTAGTGGGATTATTATAATTTAGTAGTGATTTTGGGTCATTTTTTATTTATTGTTAATTTTAATACCAAAAAATAGAAACAAAGATCACTAAAAATATTGGATTACATATAAGTTAACTTATCAAAAAAATCACTAGTTTGTCATTTGGTTACAATAAAAACTAGAGGTAATAGTGGCAGTTCAATAGTTTATTGGCAAAATTAAAAAAAAAAAGAAATAAGAAGGAAAAAGAATGAAAAAGTAATTTTAAAAGTCATTATAAGTATAAGCATACCAAACAAGGGAATTTTATTAAAATATTAAGGGTAGTATTGTCATTGTAAATGACAAGGGAGGTATGTGTAATTTTTAAAATCTCAAGAGAGCTAAATGAAATTGTTAAAAACCTCAAGGGAGGTTTCTAAAATTATCCCTAATCTTAAAGTCATGAGCTAACATCCAGTCCTAATCCTAACTATTATAAAGCACCCATTGCGTCGATTAATGCTTTTAATCTATGAAATAATTAGAACACGTAGCAAAGTGTAGGGACAATTTTGTCCACCACTTGAGCAAAATTATGTCACGTATCGTGCTTATTTCATAGATTAAGATTATTAACTGACGCAATGGTTATGAGTGTACAGATTAGTTAATATATTGGCTAATTTATGACAAAAATTTGTTTAGTGACCAAAACTTGATTCGACCAAATATGTAGTAGTCATTGAGATTTTTTGTCCAACCCATTTTTGTCTTTTCCCTTACTTTTCAACAATGCTTGAAAATCAACCAACTTAAGGGGGGATCCACTAAACTCCACTGTCCAGGCAATTGCTGACTGGAAGGGGAGCTCAATGGACCTTAAGGGGGGGATCTCTCACACTCCCAAATCGATGTGGGAAAGGGGAGAGGAAAACACTCAGACTGACTTTGCATGGGGTTTGTTGGTACGAAGACAGAGCCATTGTAAACTTATCGCTTGCGTTAGCTACTCATTTATGTTTGCTCCGCTCTTCTCATTCTTTATTTATTGTTCATCTTTTTTTTTTTTTTTTTGCCAAACACTGTAACAAATCTTGCATTAAAAAAGCAATTGTACAAAGTTCAGAAATCTGAAGCAACTGCTCCTACATCTTCTTTGACTAAAGTAACTAGCCAAACTAGGAAGGAAGACCTCCACTCAATCTCACCTATTATGGTAATGGCAAATTTTGCCAAGTTATGACTAACCCCATTTCCCTCTCTCTGCTTAAAGGAAAATAAACAGTTACCAAAATCCTTACTCAACTTTTGTATGTTGTCAGGAAGTACTTCCACCATTGGATCACCTGCATTTTCTTCAATAAGCTTATCCACAACCCTTTTGCAATCAGATTGAATGATTATATTGCTCCACTGCCTTTGCTGTGCCTTCAAGAGTGCCAACCTGATGGCAGTAGCTTCTTCTACCACTGGTTCACCACATCTGTCACAACTTCCAGTCCAAGCTTCTACCAGTTCCCCTTTCTTGTCCCTAGCAACCACTCCCCAGCCCAGTCTCCGCCTTTTTACATCCAATGTAGCATCAGTGTTTAGGCAAACGAATCCTTGGGGAGATGGGTACCATCGACTTTCTTTCCTATCAGATTTTCCATCTTTTTGTTCTTCAGTCCCTCCATTAGAATTAGCTTCATTGTCCTCTATCCATTCTCCTACTGCTTTGTTAATGGTAAATCCTGGGCAGCTCCCCTCTTTTTGGAATTGCATCTTATTCCTAGATTTCCAAATTTGCCAAAGAATGTTGATGGTCAAGGCTATATGCTCTCTTCCTGCAGCTTTTCATTTTTCCTCCATTAAACATTCCACCACAGCCAGAAATTGTTCTTGAAATCATTCAAACCATCCCACTGAAGTGGAGCTGCTTTCCATATCTGCTCTGCGTGTTTGCAAAGGAAAAACATGTGTTCCAGTGTTTCTGTTTCTTCTCCACAACAGCAGCATTTATCTTCCCCCTTACCTGTTCTATGCTTAATGACTTCATTAACAAGCAGAATACCATGTAGACACTGCCAAATAAAATGTTTGAGTTTCTGCTTAATGTCCAAACTCCATATAAACTTCCAAGCCTCACTATTTCCAGTAACTCTACTACTACCCTCCTCCTTTTTAACTGATTCCCTCTCCTTTTGCATTTCTTTTGCTACCACATACCTCGTTTTAACACTGTACTCCCCAGAGGTTGTATAAGGCCACACTAACCTATTGTAGACACCAAATTTTTGTCAAAATTTTAACATTTTCTTGAATTTTTTCTATTTAGTAATTTATTTATTTTCTTACATTTTAATGTGCATTTTTCTTATTTTTGCAAGTTTGTTTAAAAAAAAAAAACAAAACAAAAAAAGAGAAAATCAAGAAATCAAATCATCCTAATCACTTTTTCCCACCAAATGCACTTAACCCATTCCTACACTTAATTTTCTTCACCTTTCTTGTCATTTGGTAAAATCATGATTTTTGACCAACCTAACATTGAATCTCCCTCACTCTTCACTCGGCTCCTTTCCGGGACTCAACAGAGAAGCCACAAAAGAAAAATTTTCCCTCCCTCTCTCGGCTGACTCTGAACGGACAGAAGGAAGAAAAAAAAAGGGGGACACTCTCTCGGCCTTTTCTTTTGCTCTCAACAAAACCAAGACTCCAATTTTTTTCCCCTCTCAATACATCTCTCGGACCTCCTCTCTCCCAATATTTCCACAACACCCTTACAGACAACAAAAGGGAGGCAGCGACTGGTTGGGCTATTGGAGCTTGGCAATCTCATCAAAAACTTTGGCCAAGGGACCAAGGTCTTCATTGAGGTATTTCTTGTCCTTTTTTCCAGCTTTTCTTTTTTTATTTAACTAGATTAAATGTATGTGTGATTGCTTGTGTGTTGTTTTATTTTGCTGGTTTTGTTGTTATTGCATCGGTGAAATTTTGGGAAGGTCATAAACCAGATTTAGGAAAAGGAAATGTTTCTTGTGAATGCATGTTAATTGTTTGAAAAAATGCCAAAATGAAAAAAATTAATTTTTGGGACTGTTTTGCCTTAATGTAGTCTTTTGTTGTTGTTTTCTTGTTAGCTAAGATTATAGTTGTAATGTAGAGATTATAAGAAGTATTGTAATATTAATTTTATGATTTTTGGTGAAGATTTGAGTGTTTAAAAAATATAAAAATTGGACTGTATTTTGGCATTTTGGCCACTTTCGGGTCATTTTTTGTTAAAACTAAGCCCAAAAATGGAATCTACGCGAAAAATCGAGTAAGGAGGTGTATTTTGAGAAATTTTGGCGATCGGAGAGGTCGCCGGTGATCAGCAGTCCGACGGTGGCGCCGCCGGCGACCGCCATAGCCGCCAGCCGGAAGGGAGCTTCAGCTCCTCGGTAGAGAAGAAGGAGAAAGCAGAAGCAGAAAGAAGGGAAAAAGAAAGAAAAGAAAAGAAAGTAAAGAAAAGAGAGAAAAAACGGTTTGGGCTAATGTTTATTTTTTCTGATGGGCCAAGAGTTAGTTTTGATTCGATTTTGAGAATGGGTTTTGTTCTATTTCTTTTGGGTTTCGGTTAGGCTAGAAGGTCAGAGCCCATGCATTTTTTTGATTGGGCTTGAGTGACAAAAAGATGGGCTGGCCTGCTCGTTTCTCTTGGACTTTCGGCTGGGCTTAGGAATATTTGGCCAAAGAAATAAAATTGATGGCCTAGTGGCCTGATTTGTTAAGGAATAAGAAAACGTTTTTGCATATCAGTCCCTGTGCTTTCAAGTATTTTCACTTCTCCCAGAACATTTGAAATCTCTTTCACTTAGGTCCTTAAGTTAATTTCACTTTGGTCCTTGAATTTTATCTTTCATTTAATTTTGACCCCTAAACTTTGGAAAAATATAATTTTTGTCCCCAAAAGTTTTCAATTTTGCAATTCAGTCCCTAATGAATTTTGACCTTCTTTTATTATGATTGTTTCTTTTCTTTAATAGCTAATTATGTTACGTTTGAGTATATTTAACTGGTAATTCTTAGATGTTCTTAAATTTCTTTACATTTGACATGTTAAGGTGAATTTGGTACTTTTATTATTATTATTTTTCAATTAAATTGGTGCCATGATTCTTTTGATCATTTTGAGTATAAATAGGGCAATTTGACTCCATTTGGTTACCACTTCAAAAGGGAGGTACCCCTATTATTATTATTATTTCAGTGCCAATTGCCTGCTCTTATGTGCTCTTACGTGTTTATATATTTTTATATGCGTTGTTTATTTGATTTGAATGTTCATTTAAATTTTCTTATGTTTGTTTAGTTAATTTTATAATTATTTGAGAGGCATTTAATTGCCTCAAAAATGTAATAGATAGGATAATTAGATTTGTTTTATTTTATTTCCCCTTTTAGATTGTAGTTAGGCGCTCCCCGATGTAATAGGTAGGTTGTGTGTTTATGTGGCTTATGTGTTACGTGCCTTACCCGCTTTCTTTAGTATTTTTGCATCTAGATATTATGCTTATGTGTTACGTGCTACGTGCTCTTATGTGTTTATTTGTTTTAATTTATGCCTACTTGTCTTATTATGTATTAAAATGCATGACGTCACTACACTAGTCCAATGCTAGTTGTGGCTTTTCCCCTCCGCTTACTTGCTAGTCCAACGCTAGTAAGGATTTTTAGAAATGGGCTAGTCCAATGCTAGACCCTTTAGGCTGTCCTGCACAAGATTCATTTTTGTGTGATAATTCACTACATTTTCATGCATATTTTCATTTTTAGGATCTTTTCTCATTTGCATGATATTCCCTATTATATTATCCCCTATCCTCTATATGTGTTAATTATATCACTAAGAGTTGCATTTTATTTAAGAAATTGTATGATAAGTAGGTTCATTTGTTTGTTCATATTAGGGGAATTATTTTTTCAAACATGGAAAATGGGTGATTATAATTTTTTAGTTTAAATACCCCATTAATCCCTGTATAAGAAAATTATGTCACGAGTTTTTACCTCCCGTACCCTTTATGTTGCATTCATTTTTCTTTGACCACTCATATCTATGTATATAATTTAATTTAATTTCTTTTCTTTTAATTTCATTATTCGCATACTCGTGACACTTTCGAGGAATCATTTTGGCCTTCGCAATTAATGCGATTGGTTCAATTAAACCCTTGAATGAACATTTTGTCCCTTGCGATATTTTTATAAATTTAGATTTGCATCCATGTAGGAAACATCTAAACATGATAAAATTAAGGGTTAGATTAGGAAAATTTTGACTAAACCTCGCAACTAACTTAGACTAGGTTGAAAGGGTGCCTTAGGTTTGAGTTGATTGAACTTTTGCCTTCCCTTTCTTCAACCGTGACTCCCTAATTCATTTTCTCTTGTTTTTCAAAGACCTGGAGTTGTCAAAAAGGGTTTTTTTTTTATTTTATTTTTATCAAAAATATTTTCTTTGGGGTGACTTGGTACACCCAAACTTAATACCAAGTGGCGACTCCTATTTTTCTTAAAAACCCTTTTAGATTGAATTTTGGACCCAAATTGTGGCATTTTTTTAAAAGTTCCATTTTAGGTCCTTTTTCATTTATTATTAATAAATCACATCTTTTATAAAACTCATTATATTTCCATCGCGAAAAATGGGGCGCGACACCTATCTTTACCACCCTGCATGCTTAAAGGTATTTTTTTTATCCTCGCACAGTCCTCTTCATCCAGGATAGAATATAGCATCGGTTCATTCCATTTTTCATTAAGTATTAGCTCATAAACTTTCCTTATCTGGCAATCAGGTGGTTTCCTACTCACTATCTTTCCTGACCCCGAATCAGTGAGCCACCTATCAGTCCAAATATTAATATTTTTCCCAACCCCTACCCTCTTTCTAGTTCCCCTCTCCAAAACACCTCTCGCACTTTAAATGCTTCTCCACATCCAAGAATCCCTAGCTCTTTGCTCTGTATTCCAGATGGAGTTCCTTTTAAAATATTTCCCCCTCAACACCTTACTAACCATAAGGTTTGGCTTTGTTATTATTCTCCATAGTTGTTTAGCCAGCAGTGTTGAATTCTTGAAGATCTCTGAATCCAAGCCCTCCTCTACTTTTTATCTCTGACAATTTTTTCCATCCCATCCATTGCATTTTTCTATTGTCTGCACCACTCCCCCACCAGAAGTTTGCCATTTCCTTACATATATCTGTACATAAAGCCTTAGGCAGCTTGCAACATGCCATAGCATACGTAGGCATTGCTAACAGCACTGCTTTAAGGAGGACCTCCTTTCTAGCATTACTCAGAAATTTCTCCTTCCATCCCCTTAGTTTATTTACTACCCTCTCCCTCATATAGTGAAAAACCTGCATCTTTGACCTCCCAATAAATATTGGTAGACCCAAGTATTTGCTTTACCTTGCTTGACTCATTCCACCCAGTATATTCAGAATCTCGCCTTTACTTTCCTCAACTGTGTTTTTGTTAAAAAAGACAGAGGATTTGTCAACATTGATAACCTGCCCTGAAGGTTCTCCATATTTCCTAAGAATTTGCATTACTTCACCCGCTTCCTCCTTAGTGGCCTTACAAAAGATAAGTGTATCATCTGCAAAAAACAAGTGAGCAATAGCAGGACTTCTAGGAGCAATTTTTAACCCAGAGGTCTTATGATTTTGCATAGCTTGCTTCAACAAATTTGACAAACCTTCTGAGACCAATAAGAACAGGTAAGGGGATAAAGGATCCCCCTGCCTGATTCCTCTAGTTGGCCTTAGAAAACCTCTGTTTTTACCATTGATATTAAAAGAGCATGAGACTGAAGACATACATTTTAACATCCACTGAATCCAAGTACTGCAGAAACCCATTTTTTCCATAATTTTAACCACAAAGGACCACTCTACCCTATCGTATGCCTTAGACATATGTTATTTCCATAATTTATTGTCTTACTTATTTCTATGTGTTACTTCTGAATACATATGTTAATTTCTGGACAGGTGGACCTCTCTGCGGGCTAAAGAAATTTGAATTCAATTCAAATTTTAGGATGGATGGCTAGGATTACCTCGAGAGTAAGACGGAAAAATTAAATTTTAAAATTTGAATTCAATAGCAACATATTTCTGATTGAAGCTCTGATATGTTTAGCCATGTCGGCCTCACACATCTGAAAAGCGCGCCAATGGCCTATGGCCACGTGGCAAAAGAGTACAGCGGTCCACGTGTGGAGATCAATCCAACTTGATGATATCACCCTATCCGTTGGAAATTATCTGTATAATTGGGTAGAATGAATAGAATATTTTATTATTTTTCAGAGTCTATGTGGCCAAGGCCTTGTTTCCAAGCGTCTCATAATATTACAAATATGTTCGGGACGAATACGTGGACGGTGGATGGGGAGGCCACTGTATCGTTCATCCAAAAAATGGACAGTCAGGATTATCTTGAGAGTTACGTCGCCTAAACCAATGTGAACTATCCCTACATCTCTGTCGCCTTTGTCAAGTTTCATTTTAGGCCTTTTTCACTTTTCTTTTATTTTGGTTAAAAACCAAAAGTATATATTCCTTTTCTTGGTTTTTTTTTTCTTGTTTTTGGATGGGATTCAATTTCCAAAATCTGAAGTTAAAAGGGAGTGATAATTGAAAGTGGGGGATGAATTGAGAAGAAAAATGAAGGGCTACTACTGGATTTTGCTTACTACTGATGATTGAAAATGAAGATTTTTGGTTCTTGAAATTTGTTTTTGCAAGGAATGGTGAAGGGTTAAAGATGACGATGATTGATGTATGGAAAAGAGGTCCTTCCATCTAAGTGCACGGAGAAGGACAGGTGTCAGCCCCTTAGGGCGCAGTCCAGATGGAATGCGCACGGTCATGGCAGATTTCGGCCAGCCATGGCCTAGTTGGGAAGGCCGAAGGTGAACTGGTTGGAAACTCTTGGACACATGTTTGATGATGTTTTCCTAGCCTAAGTATGGGGTTGGGAAAGTTTTAGAGGCAGTAGACGTCTCTAAGTTAGTGGGAGAAAATGGATGCCTCTACTAACGGTCCTAAGTTTTCATCTAGGACTATTATATAGAGGGATAACTATGACTAAGCCAAGTCAAGGCCAAGGGCTGGGGGCCAAGGGCACAGAATGACTAAGGCTTTGTGGGTTATTTCGGGTGGTTCCAAGTGCTAGGAACCACAGTGCCTAAGTTGCTAAGTGTTGGGGCAAGTTGGGCGCGGAACGTTGCCGATGGTGGGAAGCTGGGTGCGTGGAATCATGCCGCTGTTGCCCGTGCGTGCCAAAGATAAATGTTGAGCAGTTGCTAGCCGTTGCTGGAGTTGCGGACAGTTACCAGACAACTCAGCCACGTTCTGGATGGTTTCCTACGATCATGCAAGTTCGGGTCGAACCAACGGTTGGGTCTTGTCAACCGTAAATATGCCTATAAATAACGGGCTAGCCAGAGACTAAGGGCAGAGAGTCTCAGATAGTGAGAACACCCTTAGATTGTTCTGCATGCCAAGAGTTTGTAGAATTGTCTTTGTAATCGTTGTTGTGAAATTCAAGGTTGGCCATTTGGCTGTAACTTGTGCATGTGGTTCCTTTGTTTTGCGTAAGTGTTCTACATTTGAATACTTGTGTGCAAGTGTGATTGTGTAGGCTGATTGGTAGTGTGGCTTACTAGTGCCATTACGTGAGTGTTTGGCTAGGGAAGGCAAACACCTCGTAACAACAGGATACTTGGAGATCAAAAAAACATGAAACTTCCTGTTGCACTTTTAGTCCCCAATATTTGGCCCATGTATCAAATTAGTTTTTAAAGTTTTGATCAAAACAAATTTAGTACCCAAAGTTTGTGATTTTAGACACATTTATGACAATTAGAGGAAATAGATCGATGACTAATAGTTAAAATCAAATTACCCTTAGTCAATAATTTTAACTTTGCACTTTTAGTCCCCAATATTTTGATTTTGAATTATTATCTTCTCTTAAATTTTAAACAATGATATTAAGGATTTAATATTAAATGAGATGTAAATTAAATGGGTAATAGGAATTCTAATTAAACTCTTTTTCTTCTTTTTTATTTTTATTTTATTTATTCATGCCAATAGTATCCCATATGTTTCTTTTCTTTTGCGTGGTTAGTCTAAAATTTGTTAAAATATATATGTCTTATTGTTTCTCACTATTAATAATTAATTGATACTAGGTTTTATTATTTTTATTTTAATGATAACTAAAGAAACTTAATTAAGTTTCCCTTTGAATATATACTTTTGTAATTAAATTGATTTTTTCTACATTTTAATTAGGGTTGTATGCGACTCACGAGTAGCTCGGTCAATGGCTTGGCTTGAACTCGGTTTGATCAAGTTCGAGCCAAGTCTCGAGCTACTCGAATGTACTTTCGAATCGAGTTTTGAGTCAGTATTTTGGCGCTTGTGGCTCGTCGAGTCGGGATATATTTAAATAATATATATAATTTAAATAATATATATGTATTATAATTATAAAATGATCGTTATGGGTATAATTTATACTGAATTTGCAATATACTCTTCTTTATAATAAAATTCCATAATGGCAGAAGTGTACATTTTCCGAGTCGAGTCAAAAAGCTTGATTAGACTCGGCTTGATAAGGCTTGACTAAAGGTCAAGCCTTATCGAGTCGAGTCCCGAGCTTAAAGGGATTTTCTCAAGCCAAGCCTCGAGTTACGATTTTTTAGGCTCGGTCGAGCTCGAGCCTAGTTACATATGGGTCGAGTCGAGCTCGAGTACATCCCTAATTTTAATAGGTTAACAATTGAGTTTGAAATGAAATTGGTATTTTTTACACATCATATGAATCATTAAATGATTATCAAAATACATAGATCAGATCAAAGTACATTAAATGATTATCAAACTTTATAAGCTTGGATTCTTCTCCTTCTTTCTTCCTTCTCTCTAGAGAAAACTCTTTAAGTAAAACTCCATTCTAACTCTCCCATGGGAGAGAGATCAGATTTTTTTAATCTTTCCCCATGGGAGGAATCCTCTCTATAGTTTTTTTTTCATTTGTGTGAATAAAATTTCTGTTAAAATTTTCTAGTAAGTGTTTTTTCTCTCGTCAGAATTGTCTAGTGAGAGTATTTTTCTCTTCTAAATTTTTTTAGTGAGAGTTTTCTTCTCTCCTAGGAATTCCTAGTGAGAGTTTTACTATATATTTTTTTATTTTTCTTCTATTAGATCTAAGTTTTTCAGATTTTGATTATCAAATTTGGAATTTCTTGGATCTATTCAACAAATCTCACCATAATAATTGGACTTGAAGTAGTTAATCAGCAGATCTGGTGATTGGAAATATGCACAGATGTCCATGGGTTTACAATTATTTTATCTCATTGTTTTAAAATTTGGAGCTTTATAATGTAATTTTTATTGTTTTTCAAATCTGTAATATCCTTTCTTCAGATCTGTTCTTTGATATCTGTGTATGTTTAACGATGTAATTTCTACCATTAGTACAGATTTTAATGAAATTATGATATCTTATAAAAAAAAGCACATAGATATTAAAAATAAATGCTTTAAATTTACAATATTGGAACATTGGATTTTAATTTATAAGAAAGACAACAAGAAATAAAGAAAGTTTTCTAAAGAATTCCTAAGATCACTTCATATTGATACATATGTTCACTAGTTTTTATAATTACAATGGCTAACTACAAGGATTTGAAGTCTACGTATGCAAGACATGCAACAATTTGTGTAGTAGTAATTATAATAAACTTAAATTATAAAACTAGAATTCTCCTTTTCTTCCACGATTTTTTATTTTGTTTATTATTGGTGTATTGTCATCCAATTATAATTTATTTAACAAAGATGTACTATTTAGGCAACCATCATGTTGATTCAATATAATGTGTTTTCATGAAATTTTATAGAAATTTAGGAACAAATTTGTCATATATTTAATTTAATTCACATATTATTTTATTTTAAAAGCCCTAGTTATAACTACTTAAAACCTATGGGACCATAATGATCGAAAAGTGAAACATTTGGGACTAGAAATATAAAATTCAAAACTTTTGACTAACACCAATTTGATGTTGACCATTAGTTAGGATATTTTTCCATTAGTTGTCCTAAAGCTGTCTAAAATCACAAACTTTGGGGACTAAATTTGTTTTTGACAAAATATTGAGGACTAATTTGACATATAGGTTAAACATTGAGGACCAAAACTATATTTCTCCCTCCCTGTAATTTCCTTCTTAATGTTCTTTTATGAATTTTGACGTGCTTTTATACTTTTTGATGGGTTTAATTGATTCTAAATTTAATGATGCGGGCCCTTTACCAGATTTTCTTTT